AAAAAAAAAAAAAAAAAAAAAAAAAAAAAAAAAAAAAAAAAAAAAAAAAATGACCGCTCAAAGCCTGTTGGTATGTCTGAACAGTTAAGCGTGTGCCTGTTCCAGTGTATATCCCCCTTTGTGAATAATGTGCATAATGAAATGACGCACTTGTCTACTCGTCCGAGTACAACAACGGGACTTCCAGGGGAAAGTAATTACCGATCACTCGATCATTATTATCATTGTTACCATTACCATTGTAACCCTTATCTTTACAACAATTGTTTGTTGTTAGGGTGATCGAGTGCATGTGGTTTTTTATTGCATTCAATTTGATTATTTCAATTCTATTTATTTAAAAATTTTAATTACGTTGTGTCGTAGATATAATGCAAGTTTACGTTTTTTTGTTTCGAGTGCAAAAAATACATTGTAGAAGCATCACAATACAGAAACCTTAATCGTTTTGATTTTTTAGCAATGCTATCTGTTAATTTTTCAATATCATACGTTTTATGGTAAAAAAATATTATGATTGAGCATGAAAATAATTTATAACGTGTAGACGTTAATCCAGTTACTCATAAACAAAAGTGTGTTTAAATTAGTTTTGAAAACCCCAATTTAGTATTTTTAAGCATTTCATTGCATGTTCGTATAAATATATAATATCCGATACGTCAGTAAAAACAAGACTAGTGCTTTTCAAAATAAAAATTTAATCGTTCACTTGGAGTATATCGTACATCTTAAGATTTTATTCAAAATAGATAAGAAGGCAATTAATTCATCCTACCTAATGAGATATCGCGTCGGCTGTGGACGTAGGAACTAGTAAAAATTAATTTTCTTTCAGTACTTAAGGTTATTTCACATAAAGTACGATAGTCTTCAATGCACGTTGTGACCTGCTGGAACGTTATTTTAGATGTGATGGGGTATCACTTATCTATCGGTATTATTAATTGCAAAAGATAATTCAATATTAATTTCTTGGTGCAATAAATAAATTTATTTACATTTAGTAAAATAATATTGGAAAAACGTGTGACAGGAAAGAAAAGAAATAATGTTGAATCGTCACATGGACAAAAATTGCAATCGTAAGAATACACATTGTTTCGATAATGTCAAAAAATTTGTTTTCCTATATACTTGAATGCCGTTAAAATGTAAAATAAGTGCCATGTGAAATGATTTGTTTTTGTACATAAACTAAAACGTGTACATAGTTTCTAACGCGAAAGGGTCATGAAACAAAGTAAAAATGTTAAGCACATACAAAGTAGATCGTAGCTAATTAGGAATCGTAGCTGGAGAAATGAAAAAAACAATCACTGACCGAACAAGTAGCTGGCTCAATCAAACGAAAAACACGAAGGGTTTCTTTTTTTAAATTTCTAACTGTTTTAGATTTAGATTTGTAATTCTTTTGATACTTAATGTTTTCAACCGATTAATTTGTATTTTCAGTCAATTGTTCAATTTTTGGTCGTAAGAAGAAGCAATACAAAGACAAATATCTCGCAAAGCATAACGCGGTATTTGACCAACTGGATTTGGTCACGTACGAGGAAGTCGTCAAGCTTCCATGTGAGTATATTTGAGAATTTTGCATTGAAACGAAATATCGTGACTCGTAGCTAAACGTGTGTTTGGACGCTTTGCAGATTCCGCCTTTCAACGGAAAACTTTGGTGTTACTTGGGGCACACGGTGTCGGTCGACGGCACATCAAAAACACAATAATCGCCAAACATCCCGACAAATACGCGTATCCCATTCCACGTGAGTTGAGATTCAAATAAATCATATTGCGGTTCATTTTTCACTTGAGGGCTACGTTGTCCTTGATTTTCAGATACAACGAGACCACCCCGCAGTGACGAGGAAAATGGACGGAATTACTACTTTGTGACTCACGAGGAAATGGTGGCGGACATTGCTGCCAACGAGTATCTCGAATACGGTTGGTATTGTATGGATTTAAATATATATAAAAAAAATTATTTTTTCAATTAAAAAAGCAAAACTTGTCAATTCCGATTGCAAGTTATCGAGACAACTTGAACGCGATTGATGAGTTTAGTCTGTACTATTAGTTGACGTTAAAACGACGAATCGTGAATAGTTAACGGTGCATTCTGTTTTTCAATTTTCTTTCGGAGAAAGTGGAATGAAATTGATTAAAAAATAAAATTCATTGGAAATCCCGTTGATATTAATACCGATTTTCACACGTAAATGTTTATTAATAGAAAATTATTATTCCCCACGTTGTTGAATAAATAAATTTTATATGGTGAATCACAATGGTGAATATTTCCATCTTCCTTGATGAGCTTTGTTCCATTGTTTTATTGAAACAATCGCATCCAAACGTAAAAATCGGTATTAAGTTAAATGTATGCTTTATCCATGAGCGCGGAGAAACGAGGCTTGAAAGTATACGAGCAAGTGTATTTGCAATGAAAATTTGCGTCGTTATATTCCGTATACGCGTGATGAATAAAATACCCGTGCATAATTGCATTGTGGACCCCCAGGAACGCACGAGGACGCCATGTACGGGACGAAGATCGACACGATCCGCAAGATCTTGGAGGAGGGTAGGCTGGCGATCCTCGACATCGAGCCACACTCGCTGAAGGTACTCCGCACAGCAGAGTTCGCACCCTACGTCGTTTTTATATCAGCTCCGGCTCTCGCGACGCTCGCCGACGTACGTACCATTACAAATATGCAATGTTATTAACCCCGAAAGCGATAAAACTCACGTATTCCCGGTAAAACAGTACGACGGCAGCCTGGAGCGATTGTCGAAGGAGTCGGAGGTCCTGAGGCAGGCGTACGGTCACTTTTTCGACCTGACGATCGTCAACAACGACATCGACGAGACGATCGCTCAGCTCGAGGACGCGATCGAGCGGCTACACACGCAGCCTCAGTGGGTGCCCGTCTCGTGGGTCTACTGACAGCGAACGTCCCCGACTCACGCTCTTGTCTACTCGTCCGAGTACAACAACGGGACTTCCAGGGGAAAGTAATTACCGATCACTCGATCCAAATCGGTTTGATTTCGAGTCTTGGATGGACGTAAACGACCATAGCGAATCGCGCGGCTCTGCCTCTGTTGAGAGTCATTCGCACCATGGGAGGATATTACATACACATCCATATATAAATAAATAAATAAATAAATAAATAAGTACATACATGAGATTCTAGACCAATCAAGTATCGTTAATTTATGTCGAGTCGCGTAGCAGCGACGGCAAATATAATGAACGCGTGCGTGAGTGCGTGAGGTGTCGACTAGTTGCTGGGTGTTGGAAAACAAAGATATATAGTACTTATTATTAATTGTGTCAAAGATTATTTCGTTATTTTTAATTCTTCTTCTCTCTAATTTGACTTAATCAATTAATTCCATAAAAAAGTTAGCTCAAAATNTAAAAAAAATTCCGTAAAAAAATAAGAAAAAAAAAAAAAAAAAAATTTTAAACATGACCCTTGTGAGTTTGCGATTGGAGCGAAAATCGTTTTGGGAATCAAAGTGCCCGCAGTTGAGTTGACGTGGGTGGCAAAAATCATTTGTTTTTGGGATCTTCACGTTATACATATACAATGATAGAAAATAGGAGAAAGAAACACAAGTATATATACATACAATACACCGATTCGAGTTTTTCTTCGAACGACACCTTTAGTCAGAGCTGTAAATTTCTCCGCGCTTCGTACGAGAGATATTCACCTACAGAATAAATATGTGATGAAATGATAAATATTGTCATTTCTCATAGACATATTATAAATAATGGGAAGAAGAGAAAGGGAGAAAGGAAGGGGTAAAAAGTAGGTATGGTATTTGCATTTAGGTTTGACGAACGCGATTACCTGATATGATTGTACGTATTGCTTCGAGGTGAGAGCGGGAACGAGCTACCGAGAGTTTTTTGGGGCACGTGTTGTACAGTAAAGTAGGTACGTTAATATACGAGAACGAATTATTAAATTATAACTACTGTTGCGCGTTGCGTATCTCTCAACTATATTATATTTGTAACGTATGAGTTACACTATTTCACCGATTAAACAAAAAATAAGAAAATAAAATTGCAACAAAAAAAAATTAAAAAAAATTAAAAAAAATTAAAAACAAATCAAGACCTCGTTGGGACAAGTAATATCTGTTATCCGTAGCTGCTCGGCTTTTCAACAATATCCAAGTCAACAGCTAACGAGCACGCTATAGTTTTAGAAGTGTAGAATTACTATCAATTTAGGTAAAGAACAGTGAAATTTCTCAGCATTTCGATACGCGTTCACGATTAAACGAGTATCCACCATGTTAACTTTAAACAACAGCGACGATACGTTTCTTTTTAAATTCATTCGTTCATTGAGCAATTTTTTTTTTTTTTTTAATGAACAGCCTTTATCAAGGTCAGTATGACAATGATCCATCAAATGTCTCTTAATGATTTTAATTTCAGTACTTAAGTTTTAAACTATCTCTGCGTTTTTACGAATATTAAAATAGCATTTATTTTCTTACTTTTTTTACATGCACAAAACATAATTTTAAATAACTACTTTGCTTTTTTTTTTACTTACCAATAGTTTGTGTTAATATATTTAGTTTTTTTTGTTTAAATTATCATTTTTTTTTTTAATAAAAATCATCGGATTGAGCTCTACTTTGTACAGCGTAAACCTACATCTACAATATTATATATACACATATATTTTAAGACTTTTATATTAGTAAACACATTCTATTTAATGTTAAATTTAAACAAGATACTAAGTCAATATCAACCAAAAATTAATAACCTTGCAATCCAAAATATTTACATTGACTGATTTGTTTTTAGAAAAAGCTTATAAAACGATTAATGCGACTTGTGGTTAAATCAAATGTATGACGGAAACAAAAATTAATCACTTAAGAACATAAGATTTCTTATACATACATGTGGCAAAAGTTATATTGTGTAAAGAAGAAAAAAAAAAAAATATGCTGTTTGGTAGAAGACCTTCTCAAGAGTATGTGAATACAGTTAGATAATTTACAGGTTGTATTATTAGGGCAATTACAAGTATAAAAATTAAAAAAAAAAAATTCAAGCAAAAAGTTAATTTAATCCAATGTACTGTTGGTACGAATAATAATTATGAAAATAATAATTGAAATAGATAACGCTCGAAAGAATAGAAATAATAATGACGTTTACCTTTTGTCGGCATGAAAAATAAATTTTTGTAAATTACATAACGTTACTTGTTGTTTGCTTGTTGATTGGTTCATTACATTTTGATAGAAAGATAATACGTTTCTGTCAAGTCATGAGGAACCTCATACATGAAAAAGTTACTAACTCACTCCCGCTGTAGCATGTCCAACTGAATGTGCGTATAATTAGATGTGCGGAAACGGTATGGATAAAATAAATCGTAAATGAAAAAAACGAGCGCTCGAGCATCTCTGGCTCAAATGTGACGAAGCGATCTTATAAACTTTTACTTAATGTTTAACGCAAAATAATTTAACGAGTCAACGTTTTCTTCTTTGCGTTTGTCTAAAGCATTTGCACTAATTAAACGAAATTTGTCTCACAGTTTCAATTCGTTTGTGTATCGTTAGGTTTACTGTGATCCATCGTCTCAGCCATTTGTATTAACAATGCAACTCTTCGAAATCTTGCTAAAAAATAACGATAAAATGAAGTCTAGATAATAATGATAATGAAAATAATATTTAAGAAAAACAAAAATCAATAAATTAACAAAATAATCGATATGTCAGCTCACAATCGAAACGGTGAGATATATCGGATACGTTTTTTTTAATCGTTAAACGACGATCGGAGAAGTAAATAAATATAATGTTGATGATGGCGACGGTAATGGTGGTGGTGAAAAAAAAAAAAAAAAAAAATGACCGCTCAAAGCCTGTTGGTATGTCTGAACAGTTAAGCGTGTGCCTGTTCCAGTGTATATCCCCCTTTGTGAATAATGTGCATAATGAAATGAGGGAAAAAAAGAAAAAAAACAAAGAAGTGACAATTTACCCCACCGCTAAGTAATTTTGTAATATTTTTCTTATTAAGTTATATAGCTGCCATATCCAAAAGACAAAGGAGAGAAATCAATTAAAGCGTGCAGTGCAGTTGAGTGTCGTACGAGTGTATTGAATTACAAGAGTTCAATAAACAATATGAATAATTAAGTGAAAAAATAACGCATGCATTATTGTAATGGTTCGAGTTACGAAAAAAGGAGAGAAAAAAAAGAAAAAAAAAAAAAGAGCAATTGCAGTTGTATTGCGCTGCTCTACGCGTACGTACTTTTAGCGAAACTGATTGATGATAAAAAACAAGCGAAGTGAAAAAGGGTTTTAAAAGAAACACAATATAAAAAAAGGAGAACACTAAGATTATGTGATTAAAAAAAAAAAAGAAAAAAAAACAAAAAGGAAAAAAAATATTAAAAAGAAAAAGCGAGAAAGGGACGAAGAGTATTATAAAGACGTTGTTAATTGAATTAATAAAACTAGCACGAATAAAAAAAAAAAAAAGAAGAATAAAAAAGACTAGTTTTGTATACTTTATTCTATCGATCACCATGTTCTTCGATGCAGGGGGATTGAAACACGTTGGTGTTATTTAGACCCAAGTGAATTGGGAAATGAGAAAAAAAAACGCACTTTATTGTCATGTTTATCATCGAGAAAATTTACATATTAACAACAGTAGCAGCAGCAACATGGAGCCTCAAGGCTCGAAAGCACCGTCACAATAAACACATTAAAGGCACTACGTTACGAAGTAAAAAAAAAAAGGAAAAAAAAGGAAAAAAAAAAAAAATTGGTAATACAACACGGCGCCGAATCATCGGCGAACATTTGACGCAGCACAGCCCTCGGGGATACTTGTACGCAATCCCACATCGTCACCCTTATTTATGTCTCTCGCGTCGGACAGTCAGGATGCGCATGGTATGGATAAAGACCTTGTCTTCAGAGTCATGCTCGCAGCTTGTGCTTGCGTTTGAGCGGATGCCTGTTGTTGGTGTATTTCCTCTTGGCTAGTAAGATGGTCGGCGGAATGAGCGAGTTGGCGTACGAGTCGAGGCTCGTGCAGTTGGCCTGGTCCATGGGAAACATGTAGTCGAGATCGATGTCGTATCTGTGGGGCACACGAAGAGGCAAACGTATATTGGCCGAGAAACGAGGGGAGCCAAGGGACGCGGAAGAATGCGATTGTTACCTGGGGAGTTTTTCGCGCAGGTAGGTGACCACGTTGTTGGGGAGCTCGGACTCGCGGCTCATTATGAAGCTGGAAAGGTAGCGCAGACTTTTGTCCTTTTCGGCGCAGTGCATTAGCAACGCCCACGACTTGTAATCCGAGTCCAACACGTAGGTATTGTACACGCCCTCGTCTACGTCCCAAAAGAGAGAAAGACACGTGGTTAGTTATAGTTATTGCACGTCGATGCTTTGGAGGACGAAGGCATCGAATTTTAATTTCAAAAAAATCCTATCATCTCGATTCTCAAGATGTGTAAAAATATGTCACCTCAAAAGTTTGCGGGAAAATGATTTTCTTACATGCGTGGGTTTTTTCTCGTTAAAACAAAGACTTTCTTTTTTTTTTAGAATAAATTAAACGTACATGGGACGTTTTATATTTTTATTGTTACGAAAATGTAGGCAATGTTTTATACCTTTCGGTATGATTGAAAAGCCGCTTTATTACCAGAACAAAACATACCCTGGTGGGACGTATCACTTGAACCAATTTGGTGGATTTAATCTTCAAAACAATACCCGTGATATCGATATTTCTTCACTTTCAAACAAACACGTGTCTTTTGTTGTTTGTATCAATGATCCGCGATGATTTTTAAGTGGAAAAAAAAAAAAAAAAAAAAAAACTGACAAACGAATGGTCGAAAAACTATAGCTGGATAGGTCGAGATGTAATATGTTTGGGAGAAAATAACATTAGCTCACAGGGAACTTCAGCGTGAACCCAGTGAGCCGGGAGATCGTGCGAGGGTATGTTCCAGGTGATGTTGCCGACGAGCTGCTCGTTCAACGGGTCGTCCGTGAAGCTGTAGGTGAAATTCATAGTCACCTCGGCGTTGCCGGACACCACCGACAAGTCAGCCCGCATACAGCGGTAAGAAATCGCCTCCTCGGAGCTCGCGTAGTACTGCACCACGTACCACTGCCCCAGGAACTGAAACAATCACAATTTTTTCATCATCATTGCGATGGTTTTCAACTCCGTTGGTCCGAAATCCTTACACAACGATTATTGTATAATCAAACGAGAAATTCCTTTGCCAAACGAGTGACATCCATTAGTAAAACAAATAGCGCAGAAAATCTGCAGTACTGAGAGAAAGAGCAATTAATAAATCGAGAAAACCGGACAGCTTGTAATTTGTTTGTACGCCTGCAGGTTCAATTAAATTAGCGCGAAAGGCCGGCCGAATCAATACGCGCCAATTGATATTTGCTCTGTATCGTGAATCTGCGTATTTTCGTCGTGTTCCTTTCAATTATTTCATTTTATTTTTCTCTTTGATTTATTCACTTGGCTTTCCAATGTACGGAAAAATGTGAAAAATAAATAAATAAATAACAAAACTACCATATCCAACAGGATGATTAAGAAGCTCTACTGCGGCTACACTTGCAGTGACGCACAAAAATCTAAAATTACCCCAAAAATAACTCGACCGCGTGTACACTTTACACATGGGCGTGAGGGAGCTCTTTCCGGATGAAACCCCATCGAAACAAACGGAATTCGTATACGTATGAATAAAAAGTACTGTTATTGATGCACACGCGCCACGATTGTACGCGCATTACGGTCAATTAATTGAGCGATTGTTCCGCTTAGCAAAAAGTTTCGCCCATGGCTTGTTTTAACGAAGGAACGACCGTTGCGTGTAATTGTTCGGCTCCGAGAAAAAGTTCAACCAATCTAACTGATTAAACTTCCGGGGCCCAGCATCCTTTTTCCGAGCGAGTGCTCTACTTCGCGTGTGTCGGCGAATCGTTTAATCATTAGATACTCTGCTGTCTAGGCTCTAGACTTGAGTTCAATATGTTGCACGTGCAAGTTTTCTACCCTCCCACCGAAACAACGAACATTCCGCGAGTGCAATAAAAAAAAAAAGAAAAAAATACGGCTACCGATAATTTTTACCGATCAACGTTTGAACGTTTGGTGTTCAGAACCGATCGAAGAGACTCCATACTCTGTCGCTCGTCTGTATGTTTTACGTCGCGCTTCAATTGACAAACAAACGAAAATAACAAAGGCCCGAAGACTCGCGTCGCGTCATTTTTTGTTTCGACAAAACAAAAACCGGTCGTGATAAAACAACAACGGTAAACGTGAACGCGCGTGGGCGCGTAAACCTTACCCGTAACCACGTAAAGACATATTGTACTGGTAAAATGGAAAAACAATAAATACGTAGTTGGAAAAAAAAGGGAGAGAGAGAGAGAGAAATGATGGAATGAGAAACCTGGGCGATGTTAAAGTCCCGAATGGCCTTGACTTTAGGACACTTGGTCTTGTCCTCGTTTCGTTTCCAAGCACTACCGATTGCCGGGCCATCGGCAGCTACGAGTCCGGCCAGTAAAAGTACCAGCACCAGCGACAACGACGAGATCGAGGCCCTCATCCTGTACCCCGCATGTGTAAGCATGTACTCTGAAAATGTGCTCCGATACGATACTCATGTATATAGGTGTGCAAGTATGCACTGTTGTATTAAATATATACTTGCGCCGCCGAGCGCGAGCCACGACTGTCTCAACTTCTCATGCACGAGGCCGACGTTATGGGGAAGCAAGTCAAGCAAGAGCAGAGTAAGAAGAAGAGGAGGTAGGAGAAGAGACAAGTCGGACAGTATCGCCCAATGAACTTTTCCCCTCTCGCATGCGATTATATGGCCCTATGCGCGTGTGTAGTGTAGATGAGGGGAGCCCTCTCTACTCACATTTATATGGTGTAGGTACGTATGTACTTGTACCCTCGCAACGTGTATTTATGTACAAAAAATCTCTCGCCTCTTATTCCCTTTTGCATTCTTGCATGGGGACACGATCGCGACTTTCCTTTTTAGATTTGCAAAGGTATAGGTACTTATACGGGACTCTGTACCACCGGTTTTTTTCCCCACCGTTTCCAGAACACATCGTCCATGCGGAACTACTAATGTTTCACGATGTAGATATTACAACAAAATGTTTGGTGGTCGTTGAGCCTTGATTTTTAATTATGAACGAGGATCGTTCGAGCAATGCCGTGCTAACAAAATCGTTGATCGGTAATTACAACTACAATGTGTAACATTCAAAACGCGTTGAAATTCATTAGGCCGCGCGTTAGTTACGAGTGCTTTGAACTTTGCCGAGGCATAGAGGTATTTTTGGCACAGGTTTCCGGCGAATCTAGCATACTTTGTTCTTTTCCTTGAACTATCGTTGGAACTCCCCTATGTTTAAAATTTGTGTCGCATGCGATCGGTATAATATTTGATATTGATTAAAAAAAATAATGATTATGAATATTCAACTTTTAAAAGGCTACAGCACGTTGACCACTTGTTTTCACAACGAAATAAAGTCATTTTTTGTTCTCGATGTGCGTGTGTCGACAATTTTAATCGCATGAATTTCCGTGTGATACATTTTATCATTTGTTTCCTGTTCCTGTTTCAAAGTTCGTACTGATAATACTGAATTATCTTTAAAACACGCGACAGTATGGTTTTTAGTTGTGAATCAAAATACATATTTCTATAAAATATTTACAAAGTTTATTTTTCATGTCATTCAAGTATAAAATTTAAAATAGATACAAATCTTGTGCTATTTATAAAATTAATTTTTCACACTTGTTATGTACAGTCAACCTCATCTACTCCAACGTCTGTGTAATAATTTAAACGAGGTCATTTCCACGGTGGCTTTTGCTTTTGTTGATCAGTCTTACAGGGACTAAATTTTTGAGGTACACTCAAATATTCACTGGTGTCGTGCACCGACATCTAAAAATCATGAATGGTTATTGGAATGCGTATTGGAATTTTGGATTTTCCATGAAATAGACGTTACACCTCGGAATTAGGTTGCCACGTAGAATTTTCATCATTAGACGTGTTTGTATCTTTTTTTGTAAAATTTTTGTTCGAATTTTCGTTGTGCGACGATGTCGGACTGGTATTAAAAAATTTGGGTTTTGAATAATCATCTTGTGACCGTTGCATATTTAAAATCTGAAAATATTAAAATTTTGCCATAAGCCTTATCGCAATTTTTTAGTGTCTAGAATTTCACGACTCTTACCATTTTTATGTATTTTTCAAAATCATTTTTTGAATCCTTTTTCGGAGGCGTCTCATCATTTGAAGTTAAAGTTAAAAAACTTTCCTCTTGGTGCTCTTGTTTCTTTATACTTTGCAAATTTGAATTTGTTTGACGTTCTAATTTTACTGGCTTTGAAGGTGATCCATTACAAGGCTTAGAAACTAAGTCAAGATTCATTTGACCGGAATTATCAAATAATTTTTCAACATTAATCTGTTGAATGGACGGCAGATTATCCAAGTTGCCACCTAAATATTTTTATTTTTTAGTAGTCTAATTTATTTGACACTACATAATACTACAATCAAATTTCATCATTTTTATTTTTGTTACCTGAAATAATTAACAAAGCTTGTTGCCACTGTTTTTGCATCATAGAGTGCAACTGTTCTACAATATTTGTTTTACTTTTTCGGTACGTATTCAGTTGTACTTCAAACATTGCCGATTTTTGCGTTTCTTGAGCTAATTTTACTTCATACAGTTTTTTTTCTTCTTTGTGCTTTTCTTCAACGAGATTTATCTCCAATTGATGTCTTGAAACATGAAATTATGTAAGATAAAAAGTAATCATTTTGAAAGCCAGTGATTATTTTATATAATTAGGTCTCGTATACTCAAACTCAAAACTTACTTATCAATGACACTTTTTATTTTCCGCGCGGCAATTTCCGCTATGGCTCGCTGTTTGGTCTCAAGTTCGTTTTGGAAAATCATCTCGGCAGAGTCAAGTTGTTTCTGAAATTCTTGAAGCTTGTTCTTAACAACTTCGTCAACTTGTTTTTGATAAATATCTCGGAGTTCTGCTCTTAACTTTTCTTGTTGCTCCATTAATGATTTAACTTCGTTTTTTGCAAGTTTCTGGGAAATTGGAAAAATACACATCAAAATACATTTTTGCAACGTCTGGTGATAAGTGGATAAAGTTATAAACTTACCTCTGCTTTTTTCACTTCGTCAACAGCTATTAGCAAACTAGCTTTTCCTTGCTCTAGTATACTATTTCTGCTTAACTCCTCTTTCAATTTAAGTTGCGCATTTTCTTTTTCTTGACGTAAAAGCGCCAATTCTGCCTCACAAGTGTCTAAGGCTTTGTGTATAATTGCCAACTCGGACTTCACCTCGTTACTTTTAATTAATTCCTTATTTAAATCTTGCTGGACGCTTTTTAAAGTTTCATCAGTTTGTTGATTCTTTTCCAACAGCTTTTGGCACTCCTTTTTCATTTCTTCGTACCTACTTTCCGCTTCTTGAACCAGTGACTTGTAGCTTTCTAATTCGTCAGCGTGGCTCTTTAATAATTCTAATTTTTCTTTGACCAGACTATCACTCTTTTCTTTATACCCAGTTGCCAAATTTAAGGCTTTCGATAATTCATCTTCGTTCTTTTTTATTTGCTCTTGGCATTCTGTAATCTCCAATTGATGTTTGTCCGAAATGCTTTTTATGAGTTTTTGCAGATTTTCTCTCTCACTTTCCAATTCACATAATTTATGTTTCATTTTTTTCCATGACATTTGGAATTGTGCTATAAATAAATTTTTTTCATCATCCACGCCAATAGCAACAGCAATCTTTTCTTGCTGTTCTAATAACTTTTTTTGCAATTCTTGAATCATTTTCTCACAATGCTAAAATTTATGATGATGTACAAGTTTACGTCATTTTTATGAAGTCACTTTGTTTATAATGAGCAAAGAGAAAAAAAGACTTACCTGTCTCTTTAACTTTTCTTCTTCTAGTTTGATTTTTAGTTGTTCTTCTTGTGATTTACTTGAATCTTGGTTCCAGAAATCTGAGAGAGTCAGCAACCTTTGTGGCTTTTGGTATTGCTGTTCAACATGACTTGAAGTACTTACATTATTTCTATCACAAGATTTACTACTACCATTCCCATTGATTAAAAACTCAGTGTGTTTTGTACTATCCAAATGATTCGAAATACATACACTACTTGGTGTTTTGAATATACTAGGGCAGCTTTTGCAGCTCATCATTTGTGTATTTTGATTAACGATCGAAACCGAAGGAGAAATGGTTTGTGATTTTGTCATTTCTTCTGTGAATCTTGAGACTAAGGTAGCATCATAACAAGTATCTTTTTTGTTTTCAAGAGAATAATCTGTATTGTTAGGAACATTACTTTGAGCATCACTTTGATTCATCGTAGGCATCAAACTTGTTGGTTGAGGAGTGACGAATTTTTCATTTTCTTCGAAAATAATTGGTTCTATAAGACTAATTTTACTTTCACTGGCTTCATAACTGGGCTTAAAATCAATCATGAATTTATCCGTATCAAGAGAAGAGAAGGAGCTGTCATTGTGCAGAGTGAGATCAGAGGCATCCTTCTTCTTCTCAGCATCAGAATGATAGATTGATCCATGCAAGGAGGAAGTGTGCCCATTGACATTGAATTTTAGTTTGTGCTGATCCATTTTTTTCCTTTCATAGTCAGTTTTTTCTGTTGAAAAATTTTTTCTGCCAATTGGCTTTTGGAAATTGATCTGAACAGACTGTCCTTTATTTAGTCTTGTATCCACACCACTGTCTCGATTTTCTATTCTTTCAAGTAATTCTTCTACCTCTACAAGATTCATATCCTTAACACGTTTTAAAGGAACATGGGAATTACTGAATTTGTTAGGGGAGTTTAACAAAGGCAAAGAATTACAAGATTTGGCATGGGCATCGTGATCACAAACATTCAATGCAGAAAATAGCATGGAATGAGGAGCCCTTTCAGCAGACCCTGTACCAGCATGCAAGGAATTTTTATTTTGCAAAGCAGTCTGCAAGATACTGGGCTCCATAAGTAATTTAGAGCTTTCATGCTTGTTCCACACGTTAGAGCTTGATGTGTTACTTTGATTATTTTCACGAGTTTTGGAAGTATGATGGGTATCATTAGTGCGATGAAGATGCTGGCAACTATTAGGATTTGTTAATGACGAATGGCATTGGGTATGTTTGCTAGAACTTTTCTGCAAGTTAGGCGTCGAGCTTGCAGAGAATTTGGTCCTTGGCAGTGTCTGTCGGTAATTCATCGTGGAATCTAGAGACTGTCGGGTATGATTCAAGGAGTTGTCGGGACTATCCTTGGATTCAATAGCTGATATTCTAGATTCCAACAATTGGACTTGTTCTATTAGTCCAGATACAACGGTCGAATTTCTATTATTACAACTCACACTATCGGAATCATCTTCGGAATGAACGGCGAACAGATCTGGGGGTATTAGTAGCAGGATATCAGTGTCATCTGTGTCGCTCATCATCCGTTCACTAAACTCCCTATCCACATTCTAATGCTCTATGAGTAACGCAAATACTTCGTTCACCCGTTACTCAGCATTCTGATGATGTTTAATCAAACGAATGAAGCACATTCACGGAGCAAAGTAAGTATTTTTCTTGATTAAATAAAGATTAAGTGGTGTGCAGACTAAACTCATGCTATGTGGTTTTGGAGGTTATAAAAGCACCGCGTTTGTACACAAACAGTGGATATTCATGCATCAGGAACAACTTTACTGTATATACAAGCATCCCAATAATCATTTTATTGATATATTTATGCTGAAATGTTTTACATTACGGGCAATGACTAGTATAGTTAGTGAATGATTATTCAAGTATTTACCCAAATTATAAAATTAATAACTAGAATTATGTGCAGGCGTGTACGAGCTGTTAATAACGGCACATGAAGACATGAAGAGATAGACGCGGGCACCGGACACTATTAAAATACACAAGTTGTAAAGTGTGGTCGCTACATTAATTATTTATTAACTATGTGTACATATAAATACTTAAACATGCATGTCAATATTTCACAATTACACTTTTACGCACTGTGGGGTTGCTGTTGTTGTTATTTTTGTTGTTGTGGTGACCATTACAAATTTCCATTACGAATTACCTATATATATGCGCGAATTATTTAGTTTACAATTAGTGCCATCTCGCGTGGCTGATTTTGAGTTAAAAAGTACCCATGAAACTCGCAGAAAATTCTCCGACAGACATAAGATGCAAGATAAGTTATCATAAGTAGATAAATAGAATATTTATGGTTTTTGAGGCCGGTTTTTGAGTAAAAGATAGATTGTAAACTTATCGCAAACAAGATAGAAAATTTCAACTTTTTATTGTCTATCTAATGTGATTAGTTGCGGCTGGTTTATAATTAATTACATGGCTCTACTGTAAGTTAATTGTAATAATTATTTGGACCAGCGCCATCTAGCGTTGCGGATTTCTGAACTAAAAAGTGGCCCTAAAATTTTGAAGGAGAGCGTTGGGCAGTTTAGGCCCTAGAGCCATTTAATTAATTATAAACCAGCCGCAACTAATCACAATAGATAGACAATAAAAAGTTGACATTTTTTATGTTATTTGTGGTAAGTTTACAATCTATCTTTTACCCAAAAACCGGTCTCCAAAACCATCAATATTCTACTTATCTTATACGGCTTATAAAATCTACCATATTTACAAAATTACAATGCTTTAGACCTACTGCGCTAGGGGTATTAAAAAAAAATAAGGCTATCACTACCGCTGTCTGGCAGAGAGAATTTCCGGTGAGTTTTAAGTTAAGGGTACTTTTTATATCAAACTCAGCCACGCGAGATGGCCTCGCAAAAGTACTTAATGCAAGTACCTATATACACTTCAGTCAATTTATTTGGAGATTTGGCATCCAACATCAGTAAATATATCTAGGTATGTGCAGTTTAGTCAAAGAAGATGACTTTTTCCCGGGTAATGCATACAATCAATTGAATAGTTGCAGGGATGATGATGAATGTCAATTAGCAAGTCGTTTGAAGAAAAACTCACTTCGAGAGCGACAGAGAAGTAAAAAGGCTATTTATAATAGTCGTAAGTCGTAAGTATCCCTCCTTGCGCACCTCAGACTTAATTATTATAACATATTATACTATGTAGTATTTAATGTCCAGCAGCACAGCACGTGGACAACAGGGTGATTTCACCCTGACAAGGACGATGGGCATTGGGGGCCAGTTCTGAATTAATGTGGTGTGGATTGCTAGACATATGGACGAAAAAGAAGACGATACTCTGTAGGAATGATTTGTGTTTCGCATATTTTTCATCACATGAGACAAGACGGCTATTTATAGATTTGTGGGATTAAGAGTGATTTATTTGATCAGAAGTACGTAAAAGAGAAAAGAAAACCTTAACCTTCATCAACCCATGGAACTCATGGCTTTGGTTTCAAATGACCTTTACTAATATGTGATTGTTTAAAAAAAAATGTGAAAAGAACACGTATGTATGAATTAATTGAAAAATTTTTCTCGCGAAAAGAGATGAAAACGCATGACTTGCGTACCAACCTGTGAATTGTTATGATTCGCACATAATATGTACCGTACTTAATTAAATTCCTTCTATTGTTAACTTCTCATCATCACTCGAGTACGACACCCGGCTTTTCTTTTCAGACTTGAATTTTATTTTTATGACACCTACATAACATACGTTTAATTTACAACTAAAATAATTGATAACTGATGGTAGATGGAGACAATCAACATCGCTCAGCCAAAAATAATCCCAACATGTTGTAAGTACGGGTATATACTATGGGTAGTGGTTACCTTGTGTTTTTTTATCCATTACCCAAATACCAGACCACTTTTAGTCCCTAATGTATACGCGTAAGGAAGAGTAGAAACTACACTTACCGAAAACATTACGCAAAAAGGATCTACAATATATAATAATATCTAAGTTGGTATACATATACCGGCAATCTCGATTGTTTCAATACTGCGGGTAGCGTAACTATCAAAGGACTAATATACTGCTGCAAAGCCATCCAAACCCTTTTTGGTTGGTCACGGATTATGTTTTTAACTTTTTTTAAAGTGCCCCTTGCTCATTCGATACGTGTCAGGTCGACGATCGAAACAATGGGATTTACAATTATAGTATACATATATTATATATTATCGAATTCCGTCAAACAGGAAGCCTGGCGCTACTTGCGATACTAAAAATTTCCGTAATAACTTACCCACCGGAGTTATTGATGATACTTCGCATTTTTCCCCACGTCATAGGTTCACGTGTTTCCACATTGTTCAAGTAATGTTTTTCCAACCCTCCTACCGGTCACGCTTATCTCTGTCATTACATTAAAATCATCACTTTTCGTTTGTCTTTTACCATTGACAACACTACAATAAACGGTGAGTTAATTTTATGTTATTTCACACGTTGGTCTTTACAAAACAAACACTTGAGATAGGCGCTATCGTAAAACATGCACTGGACATGTTAGGACTAAAATTCAATTTAAACGCTAATATACGCCATCCGAGGACCGCATCCTGCGAGCACCGCAGGTATATATTGTATACAACGCATCTACATAAGAGACACGTAGAAAATTCATTTGCATTAAAACAGTACACGAGGATTACCGCAAGTTGCATCGATTAACCAACATCAAGACAAGTCAAAGCCGCCCCGTTCTTTTTTTTAGCGTGAAATTAAAAGACTTGCGTGTACAAAAAGAAAAAAAAAAAAAAAAAAAAAAAAAAAAAAAAAAAAAAAAAAAA